TTTTTTCCACTTCAGACAACCTGTTAAAACACTGTGTTGTGTCACACGTGGCCCTGCATCAGGGTTCAGGTCATTGCAAAGCCCTAGTTAAGTCCACCTGTCTTCACACATCCTTCCCCACTTTTTCCAAGGCGAGCACTTCAGCAGCTTGATAACATTCCCAACACAGACCGAGATTAAGTTCTTTTCAATTTGAACTTGATGATTCTCTTGTCTGCTTCACTTCAATGCCACTCTCAACATCAAAGGATTTGGCAGGGTTCTGAACAAAGTCAATCAGTCCTTGCTATTTTTTAAAATTTATTTATTTATAAAAGGCAGCTGCCCTACATCCAGCATGATAGCTGCGTAAAGGGCCAATGTGTAATGATGCACATGTGGAGAAATAATTGTCTAATTTCACTGGGATGTGTCACCCAGCACTGAAATTAGAGGGATCAAAGATTACCGTGTTTGTTTTCTGTGCCGTATCCTCCTCCAGTTCGTTTCAAGACTGCTCATGAGTTTTGGTGCAGGCCTGTTTTAGAAAACCTTACTTCATTATGAACAAAAAAAGACTATTTGTGGGGTTTGACTTTAGGCTCCCACAATGAACCTACTCCCAAATATAAGACCAGGGGCCCAACCTTTCTTTGGAAAGACTTCCAAAGAAAGGCTTTGTGAAGGAATGCATAGATTTTGAATTTTTTTAGATGTATTGCCATACGTTTTGCAGCTGTTCCTATTAATAAAGACCTGCACTGCCATTTATACTACACCAAAGTAGTAGAGTAATACATAAATAATTAAATCAGAGGAAAGTTGCTTTTCCACTATTTGCTATAGACATTTCTGTTTTTATTATAGAGGATTCAAGTTTTTAAGAAATCTGTGAATTAACAAAAACTTTATTATTTTATAAATAAACAGTCTGGGCAATGGGCTACCAGAAGCTTTTCTGTCTTTTTACACATTTATCATGTAGAGAAACTGAGACATACTGTTGAAATTGCACTTTTTCTTAAATGTAAACATTTCAGGGATTAAATGTTTAGTTAAATGTATTTACACTGACAGAAAGGGTCATTTCACTGGTCCAAAGCTAAGAACCAAAGTGGGTTGTATGTGGCCCACAATCTAAAATGAGTTGACATCACTATTCAAAAGTGTGTAAACAATTTTATCTATGCAGTAAATGTACTATCCAGAAAGTATAGGCACCTCAGGGACACATTAAATACTAACTAGTGTATGACCTTGATAAATGAAACTATAGACGATGCTATGACTCTTTTTCATTTCAGTGCAAAGATGAAGTACATTGCAATACAGCCAGAAAATTTACAAATGGAGATGGTTTTCTTTGTCCACAGTTGATTTTTCAATCAGTAGTTGGACTTTTACAAAACAGTCCACTGTTTGGTTTCTATCATCTGCTGACAACTGACCTTTGCTAAGTTAACCATGAACTTTTCTTGACCGAGTAGTCATCATAAGTATACTTGGCAACAGCAGCCGCATAAGAGGAGAGATTGTCAGACATCAGATGCCGAGGCGTCGCCTACAAGCAAATCTGCAGCAGACCAGCAAAGCAGCCAACAGCATATTGTCAGGAATGCAAACACCAGATGAACAAAGCCAAGACATCAGCTCACAATATTCCTCTGCCATGAAGGGGTGCTGGAGGCTGACAGCTGATGTGAGAAATGAATGGAGTCGCTGAGTAACTGCAGCACCAGCAGGGAGTGTGTCGCAAACGTGATTATTCCCACACAAAGTCATCCTCAAGCTGCATTACTGTTGGCAGATGGGGGCTGCTTATGAGATGCTACATGAACAGTATGCATGAGTGTTCTGCAGCAGAATTAAAAAAATGTCCTTTAAACCTACCACCTTACCGCAACGTGTGTGTTAGAGATGTAGTACAGCAGGTGGAGTACGGTAAGCACCACCAGGTTTTATATTGGAGACTTCATTTGACTTTAAAATTGGTGGTTAGTCCTTCATTGCCTGATATAGAACATGTTTCATACATTATATTTTTTTCACTTTTAATGAAATATATTTTTATATTTCTATATTTTTTTGTCATTTTTTCCTCAAACACACAAATACACGTCAAACACAATTATGTCTGAGACTGACTTTTGCCATTCACATAACGCAAGTGCCTCATGCTTGCCTTCGCAGGCATGCGTTTGTGTGCAGTATACGTGCACTTTCCCTTTGCTTGCAGTGCGGCAGCTGTGCCAGACTCTAATTCGCAGAACTGATGGCTACGAGCATGCTGCTGAGCAGGTAGCAGGCAGCGGGGGGCACTGGGTGGCTCGAGGGATGTTGAGAACACAGGAAGATGCGCCCAGTGTTTTTGGACAATGTGACTCGCTGAAATATCAAACAGCCATTGTAATGTGTCATGCTCTGTGAGTGTGGCGCTTACATCACAGTCAACAGGTGGAACTGAAAGTAGTGAAATATCACATGGTGAGCAAGAATGAGTACACAGAATGAGCAAAGAGTCAGGGAGGGGGGTAATGAATCACACTCCTTAAGGTCTTAAATAGACCCAGAAGCATTACTGTCAAAAGCAGATGGTAATGAGAGTTGCTAGGATGCTGATGTTGCCATTACATCAGTGAGATCTTGAAATCTGTGGAGGGGATGTGATTTGATTCCTAATGCAATGGGAAAAATCACATGCTATCTGTGTTAGTTGTGTTTACCAAATCACAATCTATGTGTACGAGTCTTTGATGAATCTATTTGTCTATGAGGTAAGCAATCCATACCTATCAGCTGTGTAATATTTACAAATTACACTCTGTTTTGAAACTATGTTGGAGGCTGTATAGGTCAGAGAATTGTGGTGGCTAGAATTATGTTGAAAACTGCTCATTACTTAATGCACTTCTGTAAAGTCACACATTAGTTGCAACCATAAAATAGCATCTGCAAAGCGTTGAGAAGTGTAGTATTGTCACTGCGTTGTGTTTCACCACTGCATGCAGCACTGTTTCTGTTTTTCTGGATGCTCATCCAAGATTTATTGTCTTGTATAAAGTGGCAAGCAGAGCAACCTAGTTTTGACATGTATTCTTTTAGATGGGAAACTCAGCTTAGGATAAGAGTTCAATCCCTGCTGACTTCTTAACCCTCACTGAGGCGCCAAAAAAAGAAGGGAAAGTTGCTTCACCCCGGCACTCACGAGCTGCAACATGAAAGGAAATAACTTTATCCCATCAACTTTGAAGTGAAAGTTGTCATCTCTGCTCAGTCTTCAGCGCTCCCACTTCACCTCTGCCAGCTCCTTTCCTCGCTGAGGTGGGGTGGAAAGAGTGGGGAGAAGGGATGTTGGGGTTGGAGGGCAGCCAGCTAGAAGATAAAGTTGCCATGGTGATTGCGCGTCCCTTATCTCGGGGGACCTGTCATATTAGAAACTGCTTCCCTTAGCAGTGACTTCCACGGGCTGTTCCCCTCCCATTGTATGCTGTGTGTGCATTAATGCCTGCTGACATTTAGCTGTTAGGCCCTGCAAACAGATTGGAGATGAAGGATGTGATGGGCAGCGTGGTAATCCTGCACACCATGTTAAGAGAGCATCCGGCAGGAGCTGTCGCTGTCCCACTGTTTCAGAATTTGAGTGGAAACATCTTAGAGAAATAAAGGTTGATGAGGCAAGAGGAAAAAAAGTTTTAGTGCGTGATATCAGGTGTGCTGAGCTGGATTTATAATATACGTAAACTCAGTCGGTGTCTGGCTTTGAAGTTTTTCATATTCTACTATTCTTACTAGATACTTGACAGACACCTGCTACCTTAAAGGGAGTGCCAAACTCTCCCTACTGTGAAAACCTAGTGAGGCTAATGACCTCGTCTTCTACTTACACATGTTTGCCTCCAGGTTTATATAGAAAAGATGACTTTAAATCATGTTGCACACGCTACAACATACCACTGCTGTGTGTTTGGTAATAGAAAGACTTCTCTCTTTTTTTTTCTTTTTTACAAATATTGTTCTTTGTCTTCGGGGTATTGTGAGAAGAGCTCTTATCCTTAAAAGATGTTGTGATTGCAGTTTAACTCAGAGTTTAGACAGGTTTCCACATTAAAATGGGAAGCTAGTGTGAGATTTACATCTACAGGGACTGGATTCAAATGTTAGAAAATGTTTGCAACATAATTTGGTAACTATATTTGGCCCAGTTTGACTTCAAATGACAAAAATTAAGTTTATCTTTTTTTTTAATTTTCTATCTAACAGAGAGAGTGTAGCCTCATTAAATTGGTGGAGCTTGGACCCAAAGATAGACCCCCTGCAGAGAGAAATGACTGAGGATTAACACTTGAAAAGAAGCACACCCTTTTATGCTTTATATTCTGTAACAGCATGAAGTTTCAATAACAAACCAGTGGCTTATTCACTGTAACTTTTGGTGCAAATACACCTTTAACTATCCCATTTTAACAGTCTGTCACTGGATATTTTATTTTGTAAGAAATGAAAACCATTTTCAATATTATCAGAGCGTGAATAGGGAAAAATGTGTTTTAATCTTAATGTTTGACCTTACAGTTAGAGCACCTTGGGGGAAAAACGCCATTTACTTCAACGCTGAGACACTGTGGGTCAGAGAGAGAGAGAGAGAGAAAGAGCCGACGCAAGATCAAGACAGCTGTTAAATTAAATCCGTCAGGGGGTGTCACATTATTGAGTCTGTGGTACATGTTTATTCCCAGTGGGGACATTTTCCTGTGTATTCCATAATAGGCTCTACGGGTCGTTGAGAGGCGAAGCATTCACTATCGGTGCGTTTATTTAATAAAAAGAAACACAATAAAAAAGAATCTTTGACATCTTTAAGCTTCAGCGCTTCTAAACAGGTCATAAAAACTCAATGAGAGACACTTGGAGCGCGGACCCGCTCCACTAGGATTCAGTGATGACGTAGGCTGAAGCTGAATAACCTGAGCGCTCCACTGATGAGCGGATTCGCCAGTGCGCACCTCCCCATAATAATCTGGCTGAGCAGCGTCGCTGTCTTTTCAGCACCACTCACTCACAATCCAACCAACCGGAGAGGCAAGACAGCAAAACTGAGTTCTCTGCAGCCCGATTTGGGGTTTTTTTTCCCCTTTCCATCTCTTTTTCTTTCTCTGTGATGATAACAACTCAATAGACTGCAACTCATTTCCCAGTAAAGGAGTTATCAAAACCTGTTTTTCTTGCACCATCTGCAGAAAGAATTTAGATTTGCTGGTGTCTATTTATTTAAGAGGACCGTGAGTTTGGTGGATGTCTGCTGTTATGATTTTTCACTGCGGATTCTGATCTAGTTTTTTGCCATGGTTACACTGTAGATGAAGTTTGATATTTTTTCATCCTTTCTTTCTTCTTGCTACACTTTGAAAGTCCAGAAAAATGTCCGCGGCCACTTGAATGAATGAGTTGTGTTATAGGAAGTTTGGGGGTTTTTTTGTTTATTATTATTTTACAGAAGATTTTCAAACGTTAAGTGCGTAATTTAGGATCATTTTCCCCTTTTTTACGGTGGGATTTGTGTAGTCTATCTTGTCAGGATGCTGACCTTAGTAGTTGGACTATTGTATCTAGTCGCTGGACGCGCGGTGCGAAGCCAGGATGCTACAGGTAGCCGCTTTGTATGTAACGCTATTCCTCCGGGCGCAGAGCCCGGCTGCGGGTATGGTCCTACGGGGAACCGTGTCCAGAGCAGCAGCCCAGTGGAGGACGAGCTTCGGAATACGATCATCCAGCTTAGGGAGACCATCCTGCAGCAGAAGGAGACCATCGTGAGCCAACAGGGAACCATCAAAGAGCTCAACTCTAAGCTTGCGCGCTGTGAGGCGGCAGCCGACGAGTCGTCGCAGGGCAAGTCCCGAGGTCAGGGCTCCAGACGGAAGGAGTACGGCAAGAACACCATGGGAGACTTGCCCCGGGACCCCGGTGAAACTATAGATCAACTGGGCAAGACCATGCAGAGTCTTAAAGGTCGGCTCGAGAACTTGGAGGTAAGGTGGAAACATGCTGTGTACATATAAGAAAAGCACTTTTGTCTTATTTCCCTCTCACCCCCCGTGAACATAAGATGCACCATTGGACAGTTTCCAGTCCCCCTCCCCCTCTACTATCATGTAGTAGATAGTGAGCGTCTGATAATATTCCCCGCCGCAGGAGACCTCTCGGGGGAATCGGGAGATCAAAGGGTCACGTAATGGGCATGTCACATCAATACCCCTTTAATCATTAAAAGATATCTCTGATGGCGAAACCCACTGCATAAGAGCCATCAATAAGAGATGAGTAACAAAAAAAAAAAAATCTTGTCAAAGGTGTAATCATACATGTGGTGCAGGAATTTGCAAAGCAACCTTGAATAATTTATGAGTGCTGCGTGTATGTGTTCCACATACGCTTTTATTTGCGGTCGTGTGGCTAATTATTCATGGCAGCTGATGATTTTGATTTCCTCAGATTTTACCTGCATCAGAGCATTACATTTTCAAATCAAATCAAATGCTTAATGGTTTGTCTTGTTTGCCTGAGAGTTCTGCACCATCACCAGCCCTCTGCTCAGTCCCATTTAATTCTACAAGGCTCAAATATCACATTTAGTGAGGTCAACTATAGCGAAGTGGGTTATTTTCGTTTGTTTGTTTTTTTACATGCAGTAGACGCTAACATAAGCCCTGGCTTTGTCGCTTATGTCATGTCACTGCGCACTGTGTTTTACACCAGCTGACAGCCCTGATGCCATAAGCAGTTATAATACTGTTTTTAAATTCAAGGCTATTTTTATATTCCGTATACTGCATTGCTGATCCATCTATCTCTCTACTCCCTTCCCTCCTCTCCCTCTTCACTTGATTGGAAGCTTCAATACCCCGATTGGATGAAGGATGCATTGCAGTCATAAGGATACATATTACATTGCATTTTAATCACATATCTATTGATCTGGGCCTGCTTAACAACCTGATTATTGCAAAACCAGTGTTGCTGATAGCAATATGGCTGTCTAGAGTAGGATGTGCATCTCATATCAAAGCCATCTACACACATCAACAGTTGCAGTCAGGACCATGTGACTGTTTGCTTCTGATTTCAGTCTCAGATTACCAAATAACCTCTTCAACTGAGGCTCTGGGATGGTGTCATTGTGTCAGGAAAAAAATTAATCAGACGGCTGTGCCACAAGGTTTCTGAATTCCATGGCAAACCAGGCAGCAAAGGAAACAAATGTCTGAGGGCCATTTTGCAATCAAACCATGCACCCCCTATAAACACGAGGCTGTAGAGCTGTTTCCTTGTGTCCAAAAACAACCTGGAGACAAACATTGTGCAATCTACCAAATACCCAACACATCCACAGATATATGGCAGGTCACCAATCAGTGTCTTCATGTTGATATTGATGTATCAAAAACAATAGTGCTAAAAGAATATCAGATATCAATATATAGATAACTTCAGTCATCCACTGCAAATCTGGGTATTTATATAAATGTCTATCTATCTATCTATCTATCTATCTATCTATCTATCTATCTATCTATCTATCTCCCAGCAGCAGAGTTTGCGTCTCCCCATCACAAATGTGTCAACCGCTGGTGTCTCGGCCCTGACTCCCTTGCCACCAGAGCTCAGGGAGCTGCTGCGGCAACGTTTGGGGGCGCTGGAGACCCAGCTCCTCCGGAAGGTGGCTGAGCTGGAGGAGGAGAAGAGCCAGCTCTACAATGAAACAGCAGCCCACCGCCAACGCACCGAGAGTGCGCTCAATTCCCTCCTGGAGAGGATTACAGAGCTCGAAAAAAGTAAGTGATACAATGGGTGCTGGGAAATTTCATGGCAAAATTTAATGCCAAACTTTTTTTTCCTTTTCCCCTTTTTTGTTGTCTGCTGGATTTAGAACTCATTAGTCAATCCCTGTGCACTTTTCTGATGATGCAAGTAAAAGTGATCCTTTTCTCAGAGCCATTCTCAGAGAAGTTCCTGGTCTTGAAAATAAGGCTTGGAAAGCAACATTGAATGCTTAATGAGTTTAAGAAATGTTCAAGAGATGTCCACACTCCAGGGTATCACTTTGATGGTACATGTTAAAATACCACAAAATATGTCTGCTGGAAGGAAAACTGTTTTAGAAGAGGATCCTGCCACTCACCTATTTCCTGTTTTCCCCATGTACCCCCCTAAGGTTTAGCTGATAGAGTCAGGGGTCTGATACAAGCTATAGATTTGGGTAGCTAAAGCTAATTGCTCAGATGGGCAGTGGACCGAATAACACAACCGCATGTATGATATTGCAAGTCAGTACAATAGCCCTTCAACAAATGCTATATTGTGAGACTTATTTAGTTCAATTTATATCAAATCTGTGCCAGAGAGATGTCGATTCAATTCCACAGCGATTTTCAAGGCTGTGGTGTGGTGTTGTTGTGTCAGTTGGATTTGAGAAGATTTTTACACTGGTGATAGCTCTCCAACAGCTTGGTATCATCTGCCCTGTGCATTACAGTAAAATATGCAAGTTTATAAAACAGTATTGACTTAAAGCTCAGTACACATTTTTAGATTTTACATTTCACATTCTAATTCTGCAGGTTAAATTGATTTGACCAGTTCAGCAGTCAAACCAATTTAATTCTAAAATGGTCTGCATTGTAAAGCCTTATTTTAGTGCTAAAGTTGCACATTATAACCAGAGATGGGCAGTAACGCGTTACTTGTAACGCCTTACTGTAATCTGATTACTTTTTTCAAGTAACGAGTAAAGTAAGGGATTACTATCGCAAAAACGGTAATTAGATTACCGTTACTTTCCTGTAGGAACGCTGCGTTACTGCGTTACTAAAATCGTGATTTTTTTTGCAGAATGTCTCATGACAGTGACATAAAGGAGTGTGATGTTCGTGGCAACAGCTGTGTGCAGATCAACAATGGATAATATATGGAGTACGGGAGAGAGTATGAGCATGCAGCGTTTAAAGCGTGGAAGTACTGACCTTACTTTGAGTTTGATTCCATAAAAAGTGACAAAAACATTAGCATCCTTTGTGCGTGGGAAGAAAACTTCTTTTTACAGCGAAAAAAACCCCTAAACAAGCTCAGAGTGCACAATGAAGTAATGGGAAACTCACAGAGAAACT